GCCTGAGCTCATATTGTAGGTTAGGGGCCCAGCCAGGCTCTGTGCTCCAGTTTGGGCCGGGGGTGGGGGGGGCGGTCAGGCAGGGGTGCGCATGTGACAGTGGAAAGCCTGTAGGAATCTGATAGACCTGCGTTCGAATCCTAGTCCCACTACTTACCAGACAAGTCCCTCACCTCTGAGCCTCAGTTTCCTCATCTTTCATTCAGAATGACTGATAACTCAGACTCAGAGGTGTGGAAGCATCAATGATACCACGTCTTAAAGGGGCTAGTGCAATAGGCCCTCAGTGAGTGGTGTTCCCTTTCAAATGGTCCTAAATGGTTGTTCACATCTTCCTGCATTCATTCATTCATTCATTTGTGTGTTTGTTTGTTCACCAGCCTGCTGTGTAAGTGCCTGCAGTATACCAGGCTCTGTGAGGTGTATCAGACTCAGGAGCATCTTTGCCCTCAAGATGCTCACAGGAGAGAGGATTCCAGATTTGCTGGAGGGGTGACTAATTCACTATGTGTCCCCCGAGGGTCAGAGAAATACAGAGGAGATGGCGCTCGGGCTGGGCTACTGGGATGAGCAGGAGTCCCTAGGCAACCAAGGAGAGAGGCCATTTCACACAGAGGGAACGGCATGTGCAAAGTCATAGGCACCTGAAGCTGTTGTATACGGGGAGCCCCAGAGGGCCCTGTGTGTGTGGCTTCCAGGTGGGAAGCTGCTGAGGTGGAAGTGGGGTGAGGCAGGGGTCTGAGCACTGACAGTCTAGGTATCAGGTTGGGGGGGTTGGGGTTTTCCTGAAGACCCAGAGACAGAGATTTCAGAGAGATCTTTTGGAAGGTGATCCCAGGAAGGCCTTGTTAGGGAGGGGGGAAGGGAAGGAAAGGGAACGGGTAAAGGATTATTTAGGCAGGTACTTCTGTGCACGACTGGGGACCCTGGGAGACAGAGTGGAATGCAACTCAGGGTTACCAGCACCCAAGGGGTAAGGAGGCCAGGTGTTTATGCACCAGCTCCCCATCTGTCAAGGGTTGAGGGCTACTTTTAGGGGCATCAGCTCCCCCATATTTCCTGTTTGCCTTGTGCATAGGCTGAGCTCTCCTTTGGACAGAGTCACAGGTGCTTGTGGGAGGTGGCCTTGCAGATAGAGGTGAGTGCCCAGGGGATATGGGCAGTACCCCCAGAGCCTCTGCTACAGGCTTCATCCTTCCCTTGTCTTTTGGGGAAAAGGGACCAGCCAGCACCAGGGAGCTGTGAGCTGCTTGCACAGCCCAGGCTCACCTCTCCGCTGGCATCCAGTGACCTCGGACCAGCTCACACCTGCTCAGAAGCCTTTGATGACTCCTACCTGCAGTTTATTATTTTTAATAAATTTTTAGAATAGATAATATATCCATGTGGATCAAAATTCTGAAGACTAAATGCAATGTGGTTTCCTGGACTGGATCCTGAAACAGAGAAAGGATGTTAATGGAATTGGTGAACTCCAAATAAAGTCTGGAGTTTAGTTAATGGTAATGTACCAACACTAATTTCTTAGTTATAACAAATGTACCATTGTTACATAAAATGTTAACATTAGGTGAAACTGGGTGAAGGTTACATGGGGAACATTCTGTACTCTTTGTAACCTGGAATAATCCAAAATTATTTGAAAATAAAAGGCTTATGTTTTTGATTCTAAAAAAAAACATAGTAAAAAGTTCCTCTCCCACCCTTTCTTCCATCCACCCTGTTTCTGGTGTTCTGGGTGCTCTTCCACAGATAAGCAGATTGGTACCAGACAGACAATTGGTACATTCCATGGCAGATGCTGTGGAGGCCCACTCCTACCACCTCCCCTCACTGTCTGGTTGGTGCTGACTGCTTGCTTCTGGAAACACCTGTAGCTCTCCAGCTGAGGGCTTTCTTTCAGTCCACATGGGGAGGGTGAAGTGCCAGGAAGTTAGTGCCCCCAGGGCAGCCCTCAGAGGTGCAGAAGGAGGAGAGGAATACGCACACCCCAGCTCCGTTGGCCCTCAGCAGGGAAACTGAGCTGCGTGTTCTCCTGTCAAACAGGGTTCCCGGGGGGGATGGAGCTCACTTGCCTATAGTTTAGGAATGCACCCTTTATTGCCTTGTTTAGCTTCCTGCTCCCTCCCCGTGCTTCCTAGAATCACCTCCCAAAAAGACTCAAATCCTTGGCTACTGGTCTGCTTCTGAGAGAGCCCAAACTGAGACAGATACCATAACCCTGTTCTGCCCCCTGCTGTTTTTACTTAGCAGTGTATTTTGGAGAGCTTTTCATGTCAGTACTTAGAGCAACCTTATCTTTTTTTTATAGCTGCATAGTATTCCATAGTGTACTGGATCATAATTTGCTTATCCAGTCTCCTCCTGGACATGTGGGTTGTTTTCAGACTTTTGCTAGTACAAACTATTTTTCTTCCAAGATTTCAAAATATCTTCTTTCAGGAAGAACTCTTTGCACCCCCATTTCCCACGGGCATAAGGCAAGGCTACTGGATAATTCTTGGAAGTGGGATTGCTGGTGCTAGTGGCCTCAGAGGCCCTGCTCTATTTCGATGGCAGGTGGCCTACAGTTTAAATCTAGAGTCCCTGAGGTCCACCAAAGCCCTCCATGATCTGAACCCTCACATCTGCTTCTCCCTCCCTCTCAAAGCCCACCCTTGCCACATGAACAACTTGATATTTTTTCCAGCACTGCCCCAGCTCTCACCTCTGACCTTGATTTGTCGATGCCTTCCTCTTTTATGAAATGTTCTTCCCTATACCTTTATCTGTTGAACCTGTCTTCAGAGAGCTTGCTAAAATGCCACCTCCTCTAGGGAGCCTTCCTGGTGCTCCAGCAAGTATTGATCCTTCCTTTCACTGGGTTGCTCACCCTGTCTTTGGCATTTCCTGGAATTTATTTTTATGTGTTTTCTAATTGCTATGTGTATTTCTGCCTCCTGCACTTGGCCGCCTGATCTTTAAGGGCTGGAACCGTCTGAGTCACAAAGCAGGCCCATAAATGTTGGAGGAATTGAATTAAATGTGCTGGTGGCATTCTGACCATTTTGTTCTGCTGTTTGCCAACACAACCTTCCAGGATGGTCCCTCAGTGAGGGCCAGAATGAAACAGGCCAGGGCAGGTGTCCTCCAGAGCCTGCCTGCCCCACATTCAGAGTTGTGAGGCCAGAGAGTAGGGCAGTGTGTCCCCTGGACAACCTTCCCCTAGTAGTTCTCTCCTAGGAAGGTGGTGGTAAGCAGGCAGTTAGAGGTTGTGTCCCCTGACCGCAGCCCAGGGTTCTGGGAGTTGGTGACAGATGGGACGTTGTTACCTGAAAGCTAAGAAGTAGCTCAGGGAGGTGACTGGAGGCACGGACTCTGGAGCCAAACTGCCTGGGTTCAAATCCTACCTGTGTGACCTTGAGCAAGTCACTTCCTTCAGTGCCTCAACTCTCCCTCTATAAAATGGGGCCAATGGGAGGATGCGCTTCACAGGGCTGATTTGAGGATTCAACAAGACAATTAATAGAAAATGCTAACATATACATAGGAAGCACTGGACAAATAAGCTTCAGAAAGGTCTTAAAAGGCTTTTGGGAATTCATGTAACAACCACAGCTCCTCTTTATAGAGCACTGACCAGAAATTTTACTAGGTGCTCTACAGACTCCTGCTGAATCTTATAAATATCCTACAAGTTAACTATCTTAATTTTTTTAGTTGTGGTAGGAAACACACATTTTAACCAAATTGACCATTCTAACCACTTAAAAATGTACAATTCGGTGGCATTAAATACATCCACAGTGTTGTCAGCTGTCACCAATGTCTCTTTCTAGAACTCTTTTATCACCCCCAACAATGATCTAGTACCTACTTAAGTCATTCCTCACTCCCCCTCCTCCTAGCCCCCAGCAACCACTAACCCACTTTCTGTCCTATTATTTTACCTATTCTGGACATTTCCTGTAAAGGAACCATACAGTGGCTGTACCATGCCTCAGCACCTCATTCTTTTTTATGGCTGACTAATAGTCCATTGTATAGCAAGTGACTTAGCTCGTCCATTCTTCTCAGGTGAAGAAACTGAGGCTAAGAGAAGCCTACTAACCTGCACGAGGTCACATGCCTGGGAAGGGGTGGAGCTGGATTCCAGCCCAAGTCAGATGAAATCCAACACCTGCTCGCTTCCTCCCTTAGCACTTCCTGGTGGACAAACACCCTTCCATTCAACTAGTCCCATTTATCCCCTCACAGGGACCCCACACAGTTGGGATAATCATGTCCACTTTCCAAATGAGAAATCCGAGGAAGGGAAGGTGACCTGCCTGGGACCACACAGTGAGTCAGCCAGGGTCTCAGCCCCCATGAGCACAACAACAAATATTGCTTTGAATGGCAGCCAAACACCCTAGGTTATTCCAGTGTGCAGCCAGGACTGAGGAATCCCTGCCTTGGGGAGCCATGAACATGTAAATTACAGGGCTTTCTTGGTGAGGGCTCCCAGTTTCTATAGGGAACATAGAGATTTGAGGCTCACTTTATTGCAGTCTGTTAGTAAACCATTTACTAAGGTTTGTGTTAGGGAGGTGGCTAGGTGGGGAGTGCTTAGGCTGCGTCTCATGATATACCTAGCAGACCAGAGCTCTCAAAACAGGATAGAGTCACTGTACGGGTAACTGACTCTTCAGCACTACTGGATAGTCAAGGCAAAGCTTCTCTACTGCACCACCACAACAGTTGTTATTGTTACAGGCTAACAGCTAGTTAATAAAGCTAAAGTACTGACAAAAAAAAAAATGAATGGCAGCCAAGGGGATTATTGAGGTCCTTCGAGATCTTACTAGAATGAGAAAGGGAGAAGATGGATGAGCCTCGCCTCTGTCCCCTTCCCAGCCCTATAGTCATCCAGCGTGACCTGGGGAGCTATGCATGGGGCTGATGGGCAACTCGCTCTGAGGCTGTGGCCAGCTGTCCCCCACGATCATCCCAGGGCAGTATTTTTCTTTTTTTTTCATCAGCAAAAACTTATTCCTGTTGACCAGCATCTCTGCCAAACGTGGCCTGACTACTGATTCTCCAGCCTGAGCAGTGGGGTGCTAGGGCACCGCAAGCACAGAGTCAGGAGACCTGAGCCCCTTGCAGCCTCCACCTGCTGTGTGACCTTGGGTGAGTCCCAGGCCCTGCTGGAGCCTAGTCAGCAAAGTGCAGCATGAGAAGCATGGACAAGATACTACAGGTTTGGTGCTGAACATTCCACAATTCATAGGCTTGAGAGAAGCTCTTTGGGGACTGCAGAGTGTAAGACCCCATTGCTATCCCCTCCGGTCCCATGTAAGCATCACGGGCAACACCATGTGCAGCGATCAAGTTCTAGGCCAGTACTGTCCCATAGTGCTATCTGTGCCGATGGAAATGGTCTGTATTGCACTCTGCATATGGTAGCCACTGGCCAGATGTGGCCATTGAGCAGTGGAAATGTGGCTAGTGGCACTGAGAAACTAAATTTAGTTTTCACTTACTTGTATTTAGGCTGTTTTTTTTAATGTTTATTTATTTTGAGAGAGAGAGAGAGAGAAAGAGAGAGCAGGGGAGGGGCACAGAGAGAGGGAGATACAAAATCCGAAGCAGGCTCCAGGCTCTGAGCTGTCAGCACAGAGCCCAACACGGGGCTTGAACCCACAGACTGTGAGCTCATGACCTGAGCTGAATTTAGACGCTTAACAGACTGAGCTACCCAAGCGCCCCTAAGTTTAATCAAATAGCTAGAGCAGGTTTAGACGGTTAGGCTCTGGGGACATGAGGAAATGTGAGGGCCACTTAGAAAGTGCCCACAGCCCAGAACACACCCACCCCTTATTTGTTTGACACCTCCAGAGAACACTGGCCTAGGAGTCCAGAAGCCTGGCTTCAGATCCCAGTTGCAGCCAACATGCTGTGTGATCCAGGCCAAGCTCCATCCCCTCTCTGAACTTCCAAGTGGCTGAAAAGGGATGGAGCCCAGCCCTGTTGCCCATGGTGGGTCCTTTTGATAAGGATAGCAACAGAGAATACTTGTAGAATACTCACTGTGTGACAGGTACTGTGCGAAGCCATCTGTCTATATTAACTCATTTATCTCAGCCGACAGCCTCTGGAGGACACTGGACTCAGGGAGGTTCAGTAACTGGCTCAGGCACACACAGCACCAGGATTCAGACTTGAGGAGGCTTGTTCCAGAGCCCATATTCATAGCCTCCATACTGCACTGCCTGGGGGTGGGGGGAGGTCTGTCCTCAGCCCTTCCTGGGGCCATTGCAGGGAGTGACTGGAACAAGGCATTGAGGCCCGGAGTGTCTGGTGGTGGCCCCCGGATGAGGTCTGGAGGTAGAGGGGAGGGAGGCAGTTGTGATCATCAGCCTCTCATCTCCCCCAGTCAGTTTTTTCCCACCTAGGTGAGGGCAGGGTGACTCTGATTCCTATGGATTGAGATTGAGGCAGTCTTGGCTTGGAAATCCAGAGAAGAATCTCAGACCAGACCTCATTTACTCCATCTCAGCAACAGACCCATGTTCCTTCTTGCATGGGTGAGCATATAATTCGTCATCTAAATCATGACATTTTTGAGAATGAAACAGGGCACTAGCCATCAGGGACTGCAGAGCAACAGGCAGAACCTGGGCAAACCAGGATGTATGTCATCGCCTTCATGCATGAACATTTATGAGTGTCAGCTCTGTGCAGGGTCCTGATTCTGGTACAGAGACAGTTGGGGCCATCTGTGAGTCCTTAGGGTGGTAGCTCCCATCAGAGGGGAACTCAGAGAAGGCCTTACCCCACCCCCATCTGCAAGATCAAGGAAGACTTCTTGGAGGAAGGGATATCTCTTCTGAGCTTCAAAGGTATTAAGCAGAGGAAGAGGCTAGGGACAGAGCATTTTTCAAGAAGGTTCTGGGGAACAGAAACACAAACACCAGACCAGCCCATTTGGGCCCCAGACATGGAGAAGAAGCAAGAAAGGGGTATGGGGCAGCCTGACAGTCAACAACCTTCTCTTCCATTGGGCAGCTCCAGTTCTCTCCAGTGCCTCTGCCTCTGAGGCTCTGACTACCCCATTCATTTAGCAGCTGCTGTGGTGCGCCTCCTTGGTGATGGCTCTGTCCTTAGTACCAGCGATAGCATGGAAAATGAAACAGACCTGGTCTCCCCGCCCTTCCCGTCAATCTCAGAGCCCACAGACCATGAAGAGATGGATATTAATCAAGTGCACAAGGAACCAAGCAGAATAAGTAGAGATCCTGAGAAGTGCCTTGAAGGAAATCAAGAAGGGGGTCAAGAGAGAAAGTAGGGTGGGATGGGGGAACCATCTTAGACACAAGAGTCAGGGAAAGAGCCCTTGGAGGTGATGTTTGAGCGGAAACTCAAATCAACAGAAGCAGCCAGATATGTGGAGAGTTGAAAGGAAAAAATGTTCAGGCAGAGGGAACAGCATGTGTAAAAACCCTGTGGCAGGAAAGAGCTGGGGATGCTGGAGAAATAACATATGAGGAGGCCAAGGGTGGCTGAGTCAGTAGGAGGAGGCTGGAGTTTTGCCTGAGGGCAAGGGGAGACCTTGAAGGAGTTTAAGGGAACTGGGTAAAGTGATTCTATGGGTTTTGACTCTGTGGTTCTGCCTCTATCGTCCCTTTGTTCTGTGGGTCTAGGCCTGTGTCCTTCTGTTTTTTCCATATCTACCACACAAAGATGAGCACTGGGGGCGGGGCTGGGGCAAGGTTGGTCTGTGACCTCTGGAGCCTCAGCTGAGCCTAGGCAGGTTTAAATGGGGTGTGGTGTCAGAGAGGCCTGGAAACAGCCTGTCACCACAGAACCCCTCAGCCCCAAATCTGTGCCCCTCGGAGTTCACCGTCAGGATGGGCAGCACAGGAATTCAGCTTCAAGCAGAGGAGGAAGCCCTTGCTCTGAGGACAGTGGGGACAATGTCGGCCACATGTCCTGAGCAGCTGGAGCCATTGCCTGCTCTCTTATTGACCAACAACCAGTTGATTGAATGTTACGCTTTTCAAACAGTTGCTATGGACACAGACTTAGGCTGGGAGCAATTCGGACCCTGAATTCATCAGCATAACGGAGTTGTCATAGATGAAAAGGATCCTGGAACCTCAGCCTTGTGGGCAAAGCCATGGAATGTGGCCTCAGGAGTCAGATTGATTCACACCAGGGCCCACCCTCCCCCCTTCAGCTGAGGGGCCTAGGGCAATTGACTTTAGCCATTTGAGGTGCTTTTTCTCGTGGGCTTATTACTTATTTCTGCATTAAAAATTATACCAACACTTGCCAGTGGCTTAAAACAATAAATGTGTATTATCTCACACAGTTTCTAAGAGTCGGGGACCCAGGAGCAGCCTCAGTGGGTGGTTCTGGCCCAGCGACAATCGTGAGGTTCCAGTCAAGTTGTTGGCCTGGGCTGTTCTCATCCCGGGTCCTAACTGAGGGCTTAGGATTTGCTTCCAAGATGGCTTGTCACACGGCTCTGCAGTTAGTGCTGGCTGTCGGCAGGCCTCAGTTCCTCCCCATGTGGACCTCTCCTTAGGGCTGCTTAGTGTCCTTACAACGTGGTGGCTGGCTTCCCCCAAGGCTGGTGATCCAAGAGAGCAAGGCAGTGTCCATTCTGACCTACCTCAGAAGTCATACTCGGTCATTTTCACAATAGCCTACTGGTTATCTAGTCAACCCTGACTCGTCTTGCGGCAGGGGAGTGGCAAGGGGTGCATACACAGGAACATGACTTCCAGGAAATGGGGATCACTGGGGTGCATTTGGAGCCCGACTACCAGAGCATACTGCTCATCCCCCCCAGGAGAGCTGCAGTGAGGATTAAATGAGTTCACATATGGGAAGCACCTAGTCTACAGTAAGCACTCAATAAATGATCGCTATGATTAGCTGGAGCTGAAGACTCGCCATCCTGGAGCTGCCTCACTGTCTTCATCATTTCTAGGCATATCTCAAGACCTTCTGCCAGTCTTTGATTTAGCAAAAGCTGCATAAGCCTCTCCTGTGTCCAGACCCCATGCTGGGTGCTAGTGACACAACAGTGACAAAGACCCTGTCCCTGCTGTTCCAAACTCTGTCACACCTAAATCTGGGCGATGCAGTAGAGGGCTGGCAGGTGAGGTGCTACTCCTGATGGAGGTCAGGGCTGGCCTCTCTGCAGAGGTAGCCTGTGCACTGAGACTTGATGAAGCAAAGGACTAGTCATGTGGTGTTAAGGGGGACAGAGCATTTCTGACACACAGGCAGGGCAAGAGCCCCAAGATGGGAGTTAATGACCTGTGTTCAAGGAACAGGATGGAGGCCCGAGGGAGTAGGGCAGGAAATGAGGTTGGAAAAGCAAGAAGAAACAAGATGAGTAAGAAGATTGGCTTTTAGTCTAAGGGCCATGGGAGTCTTGTCGTCTGGGTGAGAGACGATGGGGGCCTGACCCTAGGCAGGGCTGCGAGGGTGGCATTCTGGAATATCTTGAAGGTGGAGTGTTTTGAAGGGTTTGCTGTTTGATGGGGTATAGGGGTAGGAGAAAGTGGAGTCAAGGATGATCCTGAGGTTTCTGACTTGAGTGAGCAGGAGGATGGTGTTGTCATGAGCAGAATTGGGGTAGACTGTGGGAGGAACAGGTTGGGGTGGGTGGGAGATCAGGCATTCGATTTTGGACCTGTCAGACATCCAGGGCAAGATGTCAGGGAGGCAGAGATAGGAGTCTGGTGTTTGAGAGAGACTGGCGGAAGAAGTAAATTTAGGAGTTGTCAGATATAGGTGGTGTTTAAAGCCATGAGTCTGGATGAGATCAGCAGGAGAGAGAGGGTAGAGAGAAGCAAAGAGCACCCAGTTCCTCTAGCACTCAGAGGTCAGAGGAGGAGAAGCCAGCAAGAGATAGTGCAGGTGTGGCAAGGAATGGAGGAGGAGAATGGGAGGGGCACCCAGAGATGAAGTCACAGTGTAACACAGCCTACCTCCACCTCCATCCCTGCCCCAGGCAATACCAAGGCCCTGGAGGCTCCATAGAACCATTCTTCCTTCTCCTTCCACACTTCCCTTCATGCCTACGGCAGTGGCTATGTCCTCCGTGGACTGCTGTGAACATCCCCAGAATGTTCTGCCATTCCACCCACATCATTTCCAGCCTTTCATCACTT